AAAATTAAAATATAAAAGGTAAAATGATAAAAAATTTTATTAAGAGAAAAAATAGGTCCCACCATTCAAAAAAAAATGAGGCCCGCAAAAAATAAATTTATGATATTATATATTTAAAAAGTTAAAAAAATAAAGACATAAAATATTAAAAAGAGCCGAAAAAAATTAAAGCAACAAAAGTGCTTCCCATAAAAAGGTAATGGTCCCTACTTGAAAGTAATAAATTTAATTTAACATTGTTATATATTTAAAAAAATTAAAAAAATAAAATATATAAAATGTAAAAAAGTAAAAAGGTAATTAAAGCAAAAAATTAAATAGAAAAAAAATGGGTTCCATAAAAAGTTAGAGGCCCACTTGAAAGTAATAAAATTAATTTAATCAAAAAATTAAAAAACAAAAAAAAGCGAAAAAAGAAAAAGAAAACAAAAACCGAGAAAAAATGGATCCCACGAAAAAGGGATGGGCTTCCTTTAAAAAGTTAATTTATAATAAAATATCTAAAAAACAAAAAATAAAGAAATAAAGAAAAAAAAAGAAAGCAAAAAAAAGACACGTGATAAATACTGCATCTGTATAATTACAATATTTATATTATAGAGTTGTTAAATTAAAAAAAAAAATAGAGAAGGCAAAAAAAAAATGGTATAAACAGATATCATACATAAAAATAAATTTTTTAACAAACATATTTTAATAATTGTCAAAATATTTATTAAAAATTAAAAATAAAAATACAAAAGAATTAAAAATAATAATAAACATGACATCACCTAAACTATTAGTGTTTATAGGAGTTCAAGTTAAGCTCATACTTGATATTAATAATTTATATGTTTTTTTAAATTCGATCCGATTTAAAATCTGAATTTCAAAATTTTTATAAGCTCAGCTCAAATTAAAGAAAAATCTAAAATTCACTTATTAAACTTAATTTATATAATAAAATTAAAAAAATATGATTAAATTAAGTTTAATGAGATTATATTTAATTCACATATATGTAAAAATAAAAAATAAGAATTATATATGTAAAAATTAAAAATAAAAATTATTTAAAAATAAAAATTAAATTAATAATATATATAATTTTTATTTTATATATATGTGAATTAATTTATATATAATTCAAATATATAAAAATAAAAAAATTATATATATATATATAAATTTGAATCAAGTCAAATTAAACACAGGTTTTAAATATTTTATCTAAGATTTTGTTTAAAATTTAAACAAATATAAAAATTATGTCTAAACTTGTTTAATAAATTTTAATTTTTTGTTTAAACTTTTTTAAAACTTAAATGAAACTTCGATTTGGACAAATAACGTGACACTTAATTAGATCTAACCTAAACCATCCATACGTTAATAAAATTTAGGTATTAGATTATGGCGCTACGGGAACGATCAAGACAGTTTGTGGGCTCATTTCAGAAGAGTGTTTGCCAGCATACAACTCCTTATTGCCTCCCTTCAAAAAAATCATACTTAATCTGGACGCACATTTCCAAACCCCTTCTTCCTTCAAATAGATATCACTCCTCGATTACTTCCAATCTGGAATTCTCTCTTGGAAATGGTTCTAAAATTAAATTTTGGTCCTACGAATGGATTGAAGGTAATATACTTTCCTTTCGTTTCCCTCGTATTTTTGCTTTGGCCATCAACGAAACTGGCTTCGTGAATGAATTAGGTATGTGGACTGGACAGTTTTGGCAGTGGTATGTTGCCCTTCGTAGAAGAATATTTGATTGGGAAACCAAACAATGGGAGTATTTTCTCTCCCTGATCAATCTTCATTGTCCACACAAACGTCATCATGATAAGAGTATTTGGAAAGGTTCGCCAGACGGTGTTTATTTAGCCAAATCCTTCTGCTAAATCTTTTACTCCTACTCCCATCTTCCTTCTATGGTTTGCAAAGTGGTTTGGTCCGGGCTGGCTCCACCAAAGGTTGAAATCTTCTGCTGGCAGGTCATCAAAGGCAAAGTAGCAGTCGAAGCTGAACTTGTTAAAAGGGGTATACTGAAGGAAAATATGGCCCTTTATCCCCTCTGCCGCTCGCATATTGAAACGGTTTATCATCTTTTTTTCAACTACCTATTTTCTTGGAATATCTGGATGCTCTGTTGTAATCTCAGGGATATCAAATGGGTTGGTCCTGAGAATGCCTCCTCTTTCTTCCTCTCTTGGCAAAACTCCTCTTCTGTTAATACTAACGCCGATCTCTGGAAGATGATCTCTTTCGTTACTACCTGGTCTCTTTGGCTTCACAGGAATGAGATTGTTTTCAAACAGAAATAGGCCTACAGTTTGCAATTGGTCGACATTATCAAAGCTAGACTTGCTTTCTTGTGCAAAAGTAAATGGCCTTTTTTTAGTGCATCAGTTTCTGACTTTTTCCTCAACCCTTCCTTTGTTCCTGTTAGGTCTATAAAGCACAAGCAGCGTCCTGTTATCACTTGGCATCCTCCGCCTCCTGGTTGTATAAAGCTCAATGTTGACGGTTCGCGGCCTCTAGTAAGCCTGGTCCGGCGGCTATTGGAGGAATTTTTCGTGATCACTCTGAGGCTGTTAAAGGTATCTTTTCTATGCCCATCGGCGTGGAAGACTCGAATTTTGCTGAGTTCTTGGCTACAAAGGAGGGCCTGTCTTTATTCTCTTCTTCATATTGGGTTACTGCTTGCAGCCTCATTGTTGAAAGTGACTCAAGTAAGGCCATTCATTGGGCTAATTTCCACTCGCTTGTTCCATGGCGTATGAAGCACATCTCTAACCATATCGAACGTCTCAAATTCAATACAAAAGGTATTATCTTCAAGCATATCCTTCACGACGCCAACACATTGGCTGATGGCTTGGCCAAATCTGGGATACCTCGTGCGAGCGCTTTGGTGTCATTGTTTTAGTTGAAATGAAATTTCTTTCCATTGTCTTCCTTGAGCGGTTTTTGTTTACCTAACTCTTTCTTCAATAAATTTTGCTTGCCTTTCAATACATACATACATATATATATATATATATATATATATACATATTACACATGATTCAATCTCAACACATGAAATTAATTGTGAGTAGTTAGAGAAGATGGCAATTCAGAAAAGATTTGCTAATGGAAGCAAAGAAATAATGATGGAAATCTATAGGGGTGAGCAATCAACCGATTTGGTTTGAAAAAATTAATAATCGACTTAATCGATTTTCATTCAATAAATAATCAAACCGATCGAATATTTTTAAATAATCGATCATAATCGAGATGACCAAAATTGGTTTAATTCGATCAGTTAATTAAATAACTGATTTTTTATCATTTTTATTATAAATAATTATTTAACAATAAATTAAATTTAATAAAACTCAAACTTAAGTATAATTCAAATTAAATGACTAAAAAATTTAATAATTTTAACAATATTTACACAAAAAAATAAATAAAAATATTATCTCAATTTTTTTACCTTTACTTATTAGAAAGTCAATTAATTCAATCACTTCAATTATCAATTTTAAAAATAAAAAATCAATCGAATTAATCAATTTAATCGATTTAAAAAATCGATTATAATCAAAATAAAAAAAAAACAAATCAATTCAACGAAATTCATTCGGTTTCAAATGATATAGTTTATTCAAATTGACTTTTGTTCACCGCTAAAAATCTGTCCCTAATACAAAAGTCCTTCTCTTTCACATCTTTTTCATGAAAACGACGCAAAACCCCCCCAACGTGATCATGTCAAATGCTTGAAAATTTTTAATCAGATCCCAATAAAGACTTGCAATCAACAGCTGCCTTTACCCAAGTATCAGTTGATATTATCTTCAATTTTGATAACGTAGCAATGCTAGTACCTTGTTTTGGGATTTGTAGGAAAGTGATATGGAGAAACGAAATGTGAGTGTATTATATGGTTGGCATGTAATTATAAGGCTTTAAGAAAGGAAAAAGGTTGAAAATAGAGGAGACTGCCAAGTGTTTCTTCCAACTTGTTTTGGAACTTGCAAGTAAACATCATGAAGCAAGAAATGCTGACCACTTAAAATACCATGAGGTTTTTTTTTTTTTTTTAAAATTAATTTTTATTAAGAAAGAGATATTCAAATTCTTACTTTTTTAATAGGCATATATATATATTTACTATTAAATTAAATTCAAATGCGTATGACAATGTGCATGTAAATCGCATGCCACATGATAAGTTGAATATTCGTCCTAAAAATTTGACACTTTAATAATAATTCTTTGTTCTCGTGACATTTTTCATGGTTAGGATTTGTGAACTAAGAAAGTGAAAGATTAATTAGCGAAAATCGAGAATGACTTGTGATGAAGTGTAAGCTTCGTTAATAATTGTATGATTGGTTAATAAAGTATTAGGTTATTAATTTAATAATTAAGATTCAAAATTTAACTTTTTCAATTATAAAAAAAAAATCACCCTCACAATATGAAATTAGTCCAGTTCTTTTGTTGATTAAAATGAAAGCAATAATTAGTATTTAATACTTAATTAAAGTTTTTTAATGAAACTGAAAGGAAGGAAAGGATGACACGAAGCTAGCCACTGGTGCACATGCAAACATGCCCTGTGACGTTCCTTTGTTTGACCCATTTGTTTGACAAGCTCACCATGCGGTTTTGAATAAAAGAAAATTTTTTAAAATTATAAGCACAAAAGAACTTACAAATATAATCAATTATTATATTTATTATTAATTAAATAATCAATTAAAAAACTCAAAAAACTAAAAAACCTCAACAGACTGAAATAAATCTAAACAATCAAACAACTACAACTAGGATTGATTTGACTTATCAATACTTCAATCACTGCCTAGATGTGGGACAATGAATTAGAAATGGCAAATGATTGAATATGGAGATTAGAGAGCCGCACACGGTCCATCCACCTAAGTAATTAAACCAGTTAGAGTAGACTACAAAAAACACTCACCATTACAATCGATCACACAGCTGGGCACTTTCAACTCTCAAAGCCCCTCCATTTCTTGGTCCTGACGACTCGGCAACCGCCCACGTTTTTGCACCATCAACGCCATATTTATACAACTTACAAATCTTACAAACTCGCTCCTACATGCCCATTCCTCTAAACTAGTTCTCTTTCCCAAAATTCCTTTCCTTCCCTTTACAATATTATCACAAAGCAAATAACCTTTGGTACATATTTCTGCCATCTTTGGGTGTGTTATAGCAACAAAATGTTCGCAGTTAGTGACCAGATGTTGCAGTACGCTCCTAGGCCAATATTGCCCATTGACAGGAATTGGAAATCCAACGTTGAACTTGCTCCGAATTGTCCACGTTGTGCCTCTGCGAACACTAAATTCTGTTACTACAACAACTATAGCTTCTCACAGCCTAGGTACTTCTGCAAAGGTTGCAGAAGGTACTGGACTAAAGGTGGTTCTCTTAGAAATGTGCCTGTTGGTGGTGGCTGTCGCAAGAGTCGAAGACGCAAGTCTAGCGGGGTCGAGAAAAGTGGTAGTCACCTTTCCATAAATTATAGTAAGAATTTAAGTAGTTTTGGCAATAACCAGGAGGAGATGATTGGGGTCAGTAGTTCTTCTGATGGGGACTTAAGGAATCAACCAGGGCCTGCTAGTGGGTCGGATATTGACTTAGCAGTTGTTTTCGCCAAATTCTTGAAGCAGAGTACAAGTTTTGATCAGCCTGATCAGATTGTAACTCAAGAATTGCCTAATGAAGCTAATGAAGGGATTGATGTATGGAGTTCTTTAGAACAAGATAACAACAGCCAGAATGATTCTTCGATGGAGTGCCAGAAGCCACTAGTTCATTCAATTCCAGATTCTTATATGCTTCAAGAAATTTCTCAAGTTAAGCAGCAGCTAGAAGAAAATAATAGTATTCATCAGGGATTGCTGGAAACTGATCACATGAACGCGTTTGGGTTACAAAATCTGTTAGCTGGTGAAATGGTGCAGGATGCTTTGTGGCCTGATGATGCTCCAACTAGCCCAATCTTTGAATGGCAACCAATGGCGCAACTGCAACAGTTCGAATCCTTTTCATTGGATGATGAGCTAAAGATTTCTGCAAATTTAATGGCCGAAAATTGGAGTTCCTTTGATCTTCTTGGGTTTGGACTTTTTTCAAAACCTTGAAGTTAAAGAGACTTTTCCAATTTTATATAGTAATTCATATACCATATACTTTTGTTCCTTTCTTTAATCTACTTAATTATAAGGTAGCTTTGTTACATTCCCACATGAATTGGCTAGTTTAGCTTTACTATTATTTTAACAAAATATAAATAATTTGTTGCTGGAAACGTGAAAGTTTATTTACCGTTACTGGGTTGGTTCTAATTGTAACACAATCCATACTTTAGACCTATTCATTTTTTTTTTTTCTCTTTGATATGTTAATTTCATTTTCCTTCTTTCTCTATTTTATATTTTAACGGCGTTTATTCTTTAAACTCCATCACGCTTATAAAATCAAAAAATCGGACAGTGTTTTTAAGGGAAATGTTGCTAAAAATGTGTTGCTAAAGGTCCATTTCTGTATATTGAGTAACCTTTCTCATCCATAATTTATTGCTGGTTCCAAATGTTCAGGAATTGAGGAATTTCCATGTTGCCTTGGGTATTAGCATGCATAAATGCATGCATTTGATCTCCAAGAATTATTAAACACCCCCAAATTGTTAATATCAAGAAATTAATCTTGTTCTTATTATTTTTTCCACACTGAATCTACCAGGCGTGCCAAATGCAATAGTTGTTTCTACTGAATCAGATTCATTCACTTGTCACCAACCTTTTTCTTTTATTTGTGAAAGAAAATTTTGAACTCAAATTTTTTAACATGAAAATATATGCACCAAACTATCATCAAGTAAATACGTACTGGGTGTTGTATTTACCAACTTTTAATTAGCTCCTTGTGAACTTTTATTTCCACCGTATATATTGTCATAATTTTTCCCGCAATATTATGGATAATTAAAAATAAAAAGTTTAATAGGTCATCATCACAGTAGAGTAAAGAGAATATTAATTGAACATGGGGATAGGGACCTAGCTAGTTAGAATTAATGTCCAAAAACTGAGGACCATGTGATCTATGGTAATGATATACCCAGCAATAGATGAGGGATGTAAGGAAATTAAAGGTGGTTTCCATCACTCCCATCACATGCATGTTAAGCTATATGAATAATTTATGTGGATAAATATATTTGTTGTAACCGTTGAGGGGATTGTTAGATAAAAATTTTAAAAATTTTAAAGTTTGGGGAATCATTATTATTATTTTTATTTAAGTGTGATTAATTATTTAAAAATTTATTTTTTTAATAAAATTTTAAAATTAATTAAAACTTATTAAAAAGATGATTTTTGGTTTACGAAAAATAAAATTGGATCTAAAAATATGATTACGCCTGAAAAGAATTAATATTTATACTGCACTCATTTTAATAATAATATCAATCAATTATATGTTATTATTTTATTTTGACAAAAAATGTCTTAATTTTAATATTTAAAAATAATTTTCTTAATTCTCTTTATTTTATCATAATTTTGATTATTTTCATTTCTCTTTTTTTAACGAGATTTTTTCTTTTATTAAATATTATTTTATTTTTATTTGAAAAATATATTGGGGACTTTGTTATTGAAAGTTTCTTAGAATATTTTAATATGTTGATAACATTAAAAAAAATTTTCTTACCTAAAGATCTCTTAAGAATCACTATTCAGATTACTCAAGAATCCCATTCTTGAAAATTCGCATATATTTTTCATCATTAAATGATGCATATAAGATGCAAATAATAAAGCGTAACATTCATGCATATATATGTATATTTTATTTATGTATTTATTTTATTTTATTATTTTTAAAAAAATATATTTGTCAACATTTCATTTTTTAAAAGAAAATTTTGATTATTAATTTTTTCCACATTTTTTGTATTTTTTCTTCATGACTAAAAGAGAAAGGATTTTTTTGTATTGAAAAATTTTTATAAATACTTTAATATGCTCATAGTTAAAAAAAATCTTTTTAAGTAAAGATTTTATAAGAATCATTACGCGAATTTTCTTAAAATCTTATCATTAGAAAAATCTTTATTTTCCTTAAACATTTAATAATAGAAATTCTCATAAAATATAATTGTCTATAATAGTTATTTTCATAAGTATTATTAATTATTTCAAAGCATACATATCTTTTTTTTTTAAAATATTATTGGTATGAATAATGTAAAAACATTCAAAAAAAGTCCAAAATGTATAGAAACTATATCAAACAAAGCTTTGGTTTCAAAGCCCAAAGTCTTCAGTCTACAAAGCCCAAACACTTGAAGTCCAGCTATCACCAAAAATGGGCTCAGACAAATTGGGTTGCTGAAGAGGGTCGGCTAGTAGGTGCAAGTCGGATAACAGGCGAGAATTAGGTTGTGGGTCGGGTTGACCCGGTTAGTGCTTTTTTTTTAAACGATAAAACCTTATGTGCTCATTCCAAAATGTCTTTAAACAAAAACTCATCTTCTTCAAACAAGAGCCAACAGTTCCCCCAGCCCAGTATCCAATGTTGGCGACGCCGATGATGTTGTCGGGAATCTTCCAAAACTCATCCACCGGCTTCTTTTTTCGTCCCCACTCCGAATATCCTACTGGATTTTCCAAAGATAGCGCAAAAAATCTTGGATCTAGGTTTAAAACCAATGATTTTCTCCTGAAAAAAAAAAAACCCTTCCATCCTTCATCTGATCTAGCCGAATTTTTAGTATATTGCTCTCCTCTCCATGCACTTCACCTTCATTATTTTCGATTGCCTCAAAATCTCACAGCGTCGTTTGAATTAATTTATGTTATTTATAAATATAAAAATATTATTTACATTTCAACTTAAAAAATTTAGATAAATTTGAATAAATTTTTTTAAATTTATCTGAACTTTTTATATTTATTATTTATTATTTTTGTTTGTTCCCTAAATTTTTTTTATTTTTGATATTTATTTAATTTTTAATTCAAAAAAAAAGAAAAAATTTTTAAAAAATTAATCTGAACTTAACTAAATATTTAAAATTAAAATTAAATAATAAATACTATGATATATTAAATTTTTTGAAAAATATATAAGCTACAGATATTAAGGTCAACCATAGTCTATATCAGAAATAAACTACAGTTGAACTTAACAGTCATAGTGTGTGTGTCTATCTATATAATATAGTAATTTTTAATTTTTAAAATTTTTTATTTACATTTTAATTTAACAAATTCAAATAAATTTGAAAAAAAATTCAAAATAATCTTTTATATAAAAGTTATCATAAAATTTTAACATTAATAAACTTAATCATAATTTATTGATAATTATTTTATATTATTTAAGGTAGTTAATAAAATAGTCTACCCATAAAGATTTGTACATTATAAGTTAATAATATATACATTATATTTATAAGATATGTACATTTAAATATAATTATATTTACATTTAAATAAATATTCTTATTTGTTTAGAAAAATAGAGGGAAGAAAAACGTACTACCAAAGGTATGTCATGTTTTAATTTTAAAATATTTTAATTTTTTATTATTTACATTTTAACTTCCTTTTTAATTTTCAAATATATTTTTTAACTTTTATTGTTTACATTAAGCAAAGTACTTCTAATTGTTCATTGGAAAAATTAATTCAAATTTATCTGAATTTTTTTAAAGTTAATATATAAATAATTAAAATAAAAAAAATAAAAAAAAATAAATAGAGTAAGGTTGCTAATGTCAACCGCAGTTGTTTCAGACTAAGGTTGACCTTAATAATAGCAACTATATTATATATGCTTTTGTTTTTTCTTTCAGTTTTGTTTTGTTTTTTTTTTTATTTTTTAATTAATTATATTTTAACTTAAAAAACAAATCAAAATTTAAAAAATCAAAAAATAAAAAAATATTTTTATGGAAGTTAAAAAAAATGTAAAAAATTCAGATAAATTTGAAAAAAATTAATTCAAATTTATCTAAAAATTTTAAAATTAAAATATAAATAATAATTTTTCTAAAAAATAAAATGTAAATAGTTAATTTAAAAATTAAATTTATCTTCATTATCTTTTTTATCAAAAACTTTAAAATAAATAAATAAATATATATATGTGTATATATCAATGTTAAAAAGAGATCCCTCGAATTGTCACTAATCCTATCACTTTTATTTGGAGAAACGACAAAAAGAAGGGTTAACAAAAAGAAGGGTTAACGAGGTAAAAATCATTTTTTTTTTTATCAAATTTTAACATAACATTTTCTTTTGAGTAATAATTTTTTTTTTTTACAGTACCACTTAATAAAAATTTATGGTAGAGGGCATGTTTTCATAATTCCCCCAACCAAGAAAATGTGGGAGATTTTTTTTTTTTTCAAAGTCATATGGGTAGAAAATAGTGTTTCTAGCAAAAAAAAAAAAATTGAAAAAGAAAGAATAAAAAAGATGGATGCAACTTGTAAACCAAAATATGTAAGATTCATACATAGTTTAAGTCAAATGAGTAGAAAATGGTGTTTTGGCAAAAAAATAAAAATAAAAATAAAAAAGATGGATGTCACCTTCAAAGTAAAATTTATGTAAGATTCATATATAGGATGGATTAGTTAATGGGATGAAACAAAAGTCATCTTTCAGGTATTTGCCTTCCAACATGTTTTCAACTTCAACAAGCTTTTAGATTTTGAAATGATTAGGGACATGTTCCCAATTCCATCATGTGTTGTTGTATGTGGATACTTCATTTTATCCAGAGCTTTAAACTTTTTTAATTTTTGAATTACAAAGTTTTCTTTATTTATTAATCAAGATTTTGCACTTACTTAATTAGACTTGATTTTAGGTTTGGGTTTTAAACCTAAATAAGTTTTGATATTTTTTTAGTTTGTAGTGTATTTTTGAAAAAAAAAAAAAAAGTAAGAAAATTGAAATTTTTTTTTTTAGGAATCTGAATGTAATAGGATTGAAATTAAAAAAAAGAAAAACAAAGTTGTTTTGCATCATAGTTCTTATGGAAAATAAAATTTTCGGTTTGAATTGATGATCAAAATTTAAGTGAAACAAGAAACATTTTTTAATCAAAACTTTTTGGAGATTTAGAGTTCTCCTTAAATTGGGATTAATCCCTATAAAAGAATAATCTATAGGTGAATTTAGGGAAAAAGAGAGATAAAAATTAAAAGCAAGAATTAACAAATGTTCAAACAGAGTCGACAACATAGCCCATATAAGCTTTAAAAAATTGAAGTCAGAAAGCACACAAATAGCTTAATTCCCGAATCAATCAGCCAATAGAGAAAGCAAACAATTTTCAAC